AAATAAATGGGATTGATGAATAAATTATTTTAAAGTTATCTTTATTGAACTGTTATCCATCATAACTGTTATTATACAGTGTACCAATTTGCTACATTATCTGACTACCTATATAGTATATAAACCTTTATGCCCAACCCCTGGGAATAGCAACTGGCACAGCTTGAACTCAGTCGTTCATTATCTGGTTATTGATCCTTTGAGTAATGAATTCCTGTCAGATGCGACTTTTTTATCATGTCAGATAGGTCAGTTGTATCTAAGAGGGACTACTGTATAAGTGTTTTTGTAAAGACTGAAAAGATTTATTATGTGGAATTCATTGTTCTGTTAATATTTGGTTAGTTTCCAAGTACCTAGTCCTTTTTGTTACAATATTGTTTGAAGTTAGCACAAAGCAACACAATGGTCTTTCTATGCTCTGACCTACACAGGTATCGAAACCCTGTTTCCAGCTTTCTAAGTCCGCAGACATACTGCCGTGCTACTGGGGGGCTTTTACAAATAATCATTATCAAATGTGAAAAGAATATATATAATTATCTCTTAAGTGTATATCTGTATATTGTCAGACTTAGGAGTGACCTAACTTTTCTTACGTTAACATGTTCTCATGAAATTTAAGAAATTTGTTTTGGTTCTTAAAGATTAAAACATTAATGTTTGGGGAGATAACTTAGTTTATAAAACTGTTCAAAAAAAGAAAAACAACTTGAGCATGTTTGAATGACTGTATTTATTTTTATTTTCAGTATTTTTCCAATTCAGCTTACCAGCCTGTAGAAAGGATTACTTCTGGGAACGATAACAGCTCCGGCAACCAGGAAATCATACTTGAAATTGGAGACAACATAGAATATGAAGAACAATTTAAAAGGGATGAATTTTGTTTAAAAGAACCAACAGACAAGATTAGGAAGTTTCAATACCAAGACTTTGCAACTAATACATGTGAAGTTGAAAGTGAGGATGCATCTCATGGAGGCAGGGATGCTGCTAAGCAGCATGGATACAGCCATATCAAAGTAACAGAATCAACTCTCTCATCAACTGTAAATAATTCACATAAAATATCAGAAGCCAACAAAAACCCTGTAAACTTGATTGATGCAGAAGATCATGTGAATGGTTCTTTTAATTTTTATCAAGAAGTTCCTCTTCATTTTGATTTTGGAAAAAAACAAGAATCTCCTTTTAGACTCACAAGCAATGAATCTGATAGGTTTGCTTACAGTTATACAGATATTCAGAGTCTGCAGGTTACTGATTCTAGTTTTCAACAGTCTCTTGCACCCCAAACAAAAAGTAGAAAAGAAGGGCAAGACACGATGAATGAATTACACAGAGGAGTAGTAGACAAGCACATGTTTAAAGGTATTAAAAGTCATAGTCTCATAACTCTGGAAGGAGAAAGGAATGATGGGTCAGTTCTCAGTACTATTCGTTATCCCATCTTACAGCAGTGTTGTCCCTATGGACGTCACGGTTCAGAAGAAATCGTAGATACACTGAGTGAGCCCTCCAGTCGTAGTTTGACTCCTGATGTTACTAGGTCCCAACATGTTTCCTCATTTCACCTGATAGACCAGAGATGCCATCAGTTTGAACCGAGTTATCTTTTAGCCAGGCAACTAGAGCGCATCAATATTCACAGAAGTGAGTTGGCTAAGATGTCTCCTCATCATCCTATCATGACTCTGAGAGCTGGAAAATTTCAGGGGAGAGAGGTAATGAGTGATAGTGAAACAGCATCTCCATCAAGCTTTAACCATCGAGCATTACCAAAGCCTCATCACCAAATTGTAGGCCTAAAATGCCATCCTACAACATGGACGGGATTTAGAGAATTTTCTCAGAAAAAATTGCCTTCTCGTCTAGATACTCCAGTTTCTATCATTAAAGAAAAAGAACAACAGTTAACAGTGTACGGTAAGCCCTGAATCTATCTAAGCTATTGTATAATTTTGTAAAACTTATTATGTAAGGTAAATGTAAAGCAACATTGTTGTAAGCTAATTTTTTTTTAATTTTACATTTTGCTATAGAAAATGAAAGCTCTCTTTATGTATTTTTTGGTCTTTATTTTCAAATTTTTATTTCTTTAAGCTGTTTTATTAAATTATGATTATAATGCACATTTTTAGAATAAAAATTGTGTATTTAAAAAGAAAAACATCTCAACAGTTGAAATAAAAAAAAATCATTATACTTTGATAACTCTTGTTTGTATTTTCTTATTGCTATAAATTAATATCAAACTTAGTAATTACTTATATTAGGGAAAGAAATGTAAATTATAAGAAAAGAAATCTTCTGTATTTAGTCAAAGCTGCTTAATAAAGTTTTTTGCCTGTGATATTTATTAGAAACATTTATGAGAAAAACTTAGTTGATCCTTTTTAATTCATTAAATTATAATTTTGTATATCTATAGTCGGCATTTTATTGAAAATATGCAGACTGACATAAACTTCATCTGTATTTTATGTATGTTTTGAATTATCTCATCAATAACATGTATGTAAAAATCAACATTAATCTGGACAGAAAACAAGTTGTTGGCCATTTGAAGTGTTTGATACAAATGTAGTGATTAATGATTTGTTAGCTGTGTGAACTGTGTTACAGACACAATTACAAATAACTCGTATGTAGATGAACTGTTGCAGTTAATTGTGATAGGTGAGTTGATAGCTATATAACTCGTTTACAGACATGTAATTGCAAATGAACTATTAACTGTTTGAAATGAGTTACAGACGTAATTACAAATTAATTGTTGGCCGCATGAACTGTGTTGCCATTAGATTAACAGATCTGAGTAACAGATATGTATTTATTTCCATACATAGTTCATGATTATTAAATTTCAACACTCACTGGAACCATCTTCAGGTGAAATTCTCAAAAAGTTTCAAGATTTCAAGAAACAGAATTTTTATTGCTAACAAAATTGAGTTTACTTTAGGCTAGAGTTTACTTTAGGCTAGAGTTTTTAATTGGCAGAGTTTCTTTCATTCTGACATGTTGTTTGCTGTTGGAACTAGTTACCATGGTAAAGTTGTTTTCACCAGCAGTTCCATCATATTCTTGAACCATATGTTTGTAAATGTTTGAAGAATTACCACAACTAGACTTCAGATGCTCATTTACACCATTCTAAACAATATGTGATTGATCCCACATAATTTAGTTCACATCAAGAACAAACATATCAATGAAGTTTATTTATTTTGTCTGTTATCATGAAAATTTTCTCAATACTGACTTTGAGGCTATATACACTGAAATTAGTGAATAATTTAATTTCAAGACATATTTGATTTTATTTTTCAGCAAGTAGCTGTTTTTACTCTTAAATGGAAGACTGGCATAAAATGACAGTTTGTACACATCAAAACACACTTTGTGAGTGGTGTAAAAAACATTTCTTAATATAATATTGTTCACACTTTTTGTCCTTTTATGAAAGTAATAATAGTTATTGCAGTACTATAAGCTCTGTAAAATAAGAAACTTATCAAATTGGTGTTACATTTCAAAAGTATAATACTGTCAACATGACTATACAATCCTGTGTACCTTACTTAGTTAATGATATACTCCTATTTTGAAATGATCTCCTGTGTTATTAATGTGTGGATAAAATATTGTTTTATTCAATTGTAAATTTAATACAAGGATGCTGTTTATCTAGATATTCAAATAAAAAATAATCCATATGTTTTTTCTTAAGATATAACAAAGTGATCCTCAACATACTTATGATATCTGACATGTTTAAAACCCTCAGAATAGCTATTCAATTATTGTTTTTCATGTTAACAAAAAACAGATTTCTCAGACTAAGTGCTAATTTTGTGCCCCTAGCAACACAACCTATTACAATAATCAAACTTTTCGGTGCAACTGAAAATTTTAATCATGTATTTTTGTAAGTTTATACTGAGATAAGTTATATATGACTTTATCTGGATCATCAATAGATGTTTTAACAATATCTTCTGTTCTTTTTAAACCACTTAAATTTTTTAACGATTCAGCTTAATTGATATTAGTTTGTTGTTTCTATGCAGATTTTACAATGAGCAACAACTAACCACAATATTAAAGTATACAGTATTCTTCTTAGAGAACTAATCTTTTTAAGTTTTTATTCTATCTATATTTATATTCTATTTCATTATTCAGGAACTTCTGCAGTACTTTATACTTTATATTAATAATTACTATTCTTTAGTTGTTGTTTTTTTTTGTTATAAGTCTAATTGAAGAAACTTTGGTGTCAGTTTTAGTATTTTACATTTAGGAACACTTCATATACAGAGATGTTTATGAATCAGTAAAATAGCATATGCCTCTATCTTATTGACTTGTTATTTATTACATACAATTTCCTTGACTAGATATTGGTGTTCAGAATAGTATGTGTGTAACTATTAGTGAAGAGTGAATTCCTTTCCTGCGACTACAATGTTGGTTACTCATTGGGTCTTTGCATATTTTGGAACTCTGACACGTTAGTCTGCCTATTGTTAAAATTAAAAAGTATCTTTCATGGGAAATTCAACAGTATTCTTGCTGTTGGTGAAGGGTTTAGAAGTGTTACATAATATCATGACCTTTTCAAGACTTTCACATCTACACTTTAATTCTTTTGGAAATTATTTAGGGTAATGATGAACCACTTCATTGTATTGACCACAGTTGGTCTTATCTTCTTTAGTTTAAGATCTTATGTATAGTTGATACTAGTTATATAACAGTTCTGTATATACTTATACACTGTCACTAGTTTTTGCTAATCACTTCCTTTGCCATATTTTCTCTTGTAACTTTCTAAGTAATTATTATTATTATTGAATTTTCTTTAATTATATTTCATTTGCTTTTCAGCTTTTACACAATACTTAACTTTAATTATTATTTCCTTTTGCCTGCTCTATATGTTTGTTTTAAGTGACAGAAGTTAAAGTTGAATTGGTTGTGTTATTAACACCTCGTAGTATGCTTAACATATTGTTTTTCTTTCTCATTATTTTACTTAGAGTTCCATTACTGTAGCTATTTATTGTATGATTCAGGTTTTCATTTTATATTTTATTTTGTATCTTCATATACATTAGTTTTTTGGCTATGCTACAGGTAATGTTCTGTTACTTGACTCCAAATCTAAGCAGTAACATGTTGTAGCAATTTATCTCAGATGTTAGGCTCCTCTAAAGTTACACTGTTGTAACTTTTTAATGGGTTTTCATTGGTCACAAGAAGTTGTTAGGAATGATTGTGGAAAGTTTTGTTTATACACTGTTACAATGATGTTATGTTATTCAATGAACATTAATTTTATGACAGTACTCGAAGCTTACAGCTGGTGCTTGGGTTTAAGGTATACTCTATTATTTCTTTCATGTAAACTTTCATTTCAGGTTAGAACATTTAAAATATTTATGTTATAATTTTACATTTTTTATCATTATACTTCTATTACATAGACTTGTTTTGCATTGCTAGCTTAGTATGTAAACCTATGACTAACTGAAGTCTCATAAGCTGATGGAACCTCATGAGATATTAGTTTGTGGTAGAAAATGTTGATAACAGTGAGGGTACTTAACACAAAACAAAGTCTTTTAACCTGTATAGGAACATATGAAAAATATATTTAGTTAGCTATACCCACTACCAGGTTGATTTTTAGCGTAACACTTGGTAAGCAGCTTGCTTTGATCAGAAATTAGGATTAATAGTCTCTTAAAATTTTGTAATTTAGTTGGATACTTCTGTCACCTGTAAGAAGTATTGGAAATGTGATGGTTTAATGGCATGGTATGGTATCTATATATATAACATTATTTCTAATAGGATTTGAATAAGAATTGTACAAGTTCATATTTCTACCCTTTAATAATATTGTACAAAGGTTATCAAAGTTTTATATTTTCAGTTAACCAGAAATGTTGTAACTTTAGTATATCAGGCCTAGAACTCAATGGTAATGTTCCATAAACTATTAATAGAAATTATCAATTGCAGTGAAGTACTTGACTAGCTTAAGAATATAAATGAAAAAATGTACAGGCTTATTTTTGCAGGTACATAAATAAAATTCTTTGAATAACATATAGTGTGTTTCTGATTTAGATTTTACTTCACTTTTAAGAACCCATTTTGATAAGGTTTAAATCTAAACTATATATTTAATATTCAAATCACTGAAAAGTCAGTTAATTTATGTTACAAATTGCTTCTCTTACCCACCTTTTCTCAGGTGTTTTTGAATTTTGGCAGAACAGTGCTAATGTTAGAATGATATTTTGTAAGTGCCAAGGTGAGGTGATGGAAGTTTAAGTATGTAACTTTTTTATAATTACAAAATACACTTAAAAAAATTTCAAGATGCATACATGTTTTATAGTACCTTGAATAATTACAACATGATGTTCAAGTTAGTTACAAGCTAAATCGTGCTTTCAAAATACAAGTAAGAATTGTGTTTTTGATGTATTATATATATTTATTTGTGTATACATATTTTTGGTTATGTTTTTAAGTAACCATTTTATTTTCATAAAGAACCAAAAGATTACCTTACAGTGTTACATTCTTGATTTAGTACAATATTTTATGCTTCTACAGCATATACGTACTTGTATTTTATAAATACATTGTCTTATTTATGTTTATGACTTGTTTGAACCAATATAGATGACATAGCTAAAATGAAAGACATAATACATGAAGATGATGACAGAGCAACATCTGATCAACCATTCATCTCTCAGAGTTCATCCAAAGTTGTTCTTAGAAAGAAACCTCCCATTGGTCAGTAAAATTTTGTTTATTTTTCTTATCTTCATGCATATACGTTTGATTGGCAAGACACTTTGATTAGAGCTGGGTGATTAACTTGGTAAAATTGATTACCTGTGAGTACCAATTACATCCATTTGTAACACATAAAATAACCAGTTAATTGTCAGTTATGATTAAATTGATTAACATCATGAAACTAATCAGCTAATTTAATTGTTTTTGATTATTACAATTTTTGATCATTACAACTATCCAAGTCAATGAAATATTGCCCTTATGATTTATCATTATTATTTTCAATTAATTCAAGGTTGTTCAACTTAATTATTACAATTTAAATTATTCCAACTATCCAAGTCTTATGTGAAAATTATCATGGATTAATGATCCCAATGATTAACAGTTAGAAAAATTCCATTAATTTCCCAGCTTTAAATTTTATAGCAAAATTGTTGGTAAAGTCATAGTAGTATAAAAATAAAGTTTATTCTGTTTTCAAAGGACATTCTTTGTGTGAATTTATTTCAGTAACAAAACAAAGCAATTTTATGTTTACACTAGTGTCTTCTCTACATTTTCTGTTATCAGAAATGTATTAATAACAAAAGATGATATTTCCCTATTATTCATAATATTTTTCCTGCTTCTCTAGAAACAATCTGCTAGCTATTTGAAAATCCACTTGAAACATTAATCATACATTCTAATACATACTTACCTCCTCTCACACTACAGCTATTACTCAACTGCTACTGTTCCTTCCTTTGCCCATCTAAGAATAGGTCTGATTTTTTTCTCACTTGCTCCAGTCTTTTATACCCCATTTAATTGTCCTTGACAATATTTTCTTGTGACATTTTCCACCTCTGTCAATATGCCCTCTATCTGAGTACTATATAAAAACACTTCTTTCAGATAATGTTATCACGTTTTCTCGAAAAAGCATTCAATGATGGGTTTCTTCGTACTGCGATCGTTAGAGATAATTTGAGCATTCTCAGTGTCACCTAGTTGGTTTTTGTTAAAAAAAATTTTGATTGGCAAGCCAATTTCCCAGGTTATTATTTCTGAAACAGAGGCAAATAAGGTCTCTCCTAGTCCATCTTTGATATCTAGCATCGAACAACAACCTGGGGGAATCACTCTCAGTTGAGACTGTCAGTGATGTTATTCGTAGTGAGATGGAGACATATATTCGGTTCCGTGGTATTTCTCCAGGGGGCTCTGAGGTTGCAATAGAGGGTGATTCTGGACATTCTAGAGAGAATTTCGATTTGTAATTTCCTGTGCCTTCTTTTAATTTGTTGGTCTTTCTCTAGTTCACC